CCCCCCCGTTTGAATATGGTTTTTGAGGCAACGCTATTGGATAGTAGCTTCACTTTGGCAAACATTTGTCTAATCTTTCAATTGTTTTGTGAATAAACTGGGCTGCTCCCAGTTATAGAATCCAGACAGCCAAGCCCTTTTGTCCTGACTGATATCAGCTTGTCCCACATAAGAATGAATAAATTGAATTTTAATGCAGTTCTAGAGGAATTCTTTCATTCTGCAAATGGTTGTCAGAATAGCCAAGGCTTGGTTTATTGTTTGTGGGAACTAAAAATCCTTTTCTCTTTGGGTTGTGATGTAATGATTGAACAATTGTTAAACTTGATTTCATATTAAGTCTGTAAAGTGTGGTGCATAGCCCAGTGTCTATGGAATGGTCCTTTTTAACTTTGCCAGGTTGATCTCCCACATAGAGGCTATTTTGTGTGGAGATGCATGTCTGCTGGTTTAGAAGTCTGTTAAACAAAAGTGGAAATTCTTACAGTGATGGAAAATAGAACTCAATATTGCTGGTAGGTAATGCTACTTTTTTAATGTGGAAAATCACTTTAAAGACTTCAATTTCTTACAGCACTAATTTTGAAGGGGGATTCTGAATCCTCAGTACTACATCAAGCAGTGGAAGATTTTTCTAGAGGCCTGGTGAACTGGGAAGGAATACTAGGAACTGCATCTGTGACATTCACAGGAAAGGCATTTAGTTCACAGCAAAGCATAGGTGTTGCATTCAGTTCAGTCCATTGTTGTGTCTAATTTGTAGAGTCATGGAGTCATAGAATCATAGAGCTGGAAGGGACTTACAAGGTCATCTAGTCCAGCCCCCTGTACAAGACAGGAAATTCACAAATACTTCTCCCTCCACACCCACAGTGACTGCTGTTCCACACCCAGAAGATGACAAAAAAAAACAAAACCTCCAGGATCCCCAGCCAAACCAGCCTGGAGAAAAAATGCTTCCTGACCTCAAAGTGGCAATCAGCATTTCCCTGGGTGTGTAAGAAAGGACCACAAGAATTAAGCACTGAGGCTGCCCTTCCTCTCATGATCTGCCTAAGTTCACATAATCCACACTGCTGTCATATGGCCATCTAGCCTCTGTCTGAAAACCTTCAAAGAAGGCGAGCCCACCACCTCCTGAGGAAGCCTGTTCCATTAAGGAACCAATCTGTCAGGAAGTTCTTCCTAATGTTTAGCCAAAAACTCTTCTGATTTAATTTCAACCCGTTGGTTCTGGTCCAACCTTCTGGGGCAACAGAAAACAACTCCACACCATCCTCTATATGACAGTCCTTCAAGTACTTGAAGATGGTTATCGTATCACCTCACCTAATTAAACCCATTTCAGCTAGACTTCTGTTTGAGGTTTTGAAGATCTGCCACCAGTCACAATTTTTTATGTGTGGAACCTCTGAGTATTTTGTGATTGGCCCCACTTCCTGCAGCAGCCGTTTTCTGCTTCCCATGGCAGGCATTTCATAGTGACACTCGTCCCACCACACTTTGTCAATATTCCAAAGGTTCAGGAAATTTCGGGATCCTTGTGGCAAGCCATGTTGCTTGGTTAAAATTAGAAGGGTAGTTATAAATCTTGAACCTGGATGTGTTCTGACTGTTCGTAGTGCTCCAGCCTTGTATGTTAAACCTGCACATCCTATTGATATCCTGTGCATAGCAGGTTAGGATGAATAGAATAATAATGCTTCAGCGTTTTTAAACAATGTAAAATACAGGTTCCTAGGGTGTTTTTTTTAGCTCTCCTGGATTCCTGTAATTGCTTCACAAGGAGTCTCCTCTAACTTCATACTTCCTTTTTGATATAGTTGTAGTTTAGCTTTAGGATTTTCTGGCAGAGGGACATTTAGGTTATAATGATTCAGATGACCTAGTTAAAGAAACGATCAACAGAGAGAGTCTCCATTTTTACAAAGAAACACTTGTCAATATGTTTTCTTTTTGCTGAGTTGTTAGGCAGTTGTGAACAATTATGACTGCTGACCTTAGCAACCCACTTTTCCTATAGGCTTTTGTGGTTATGGATAATACTTAGACCTAAAGCTATGAGAACCACCAATAATTCTGTCTAAAAACCACAGTGATGAAGAACTATTCATTCTAAGCCCAAATCACTCAGGATTTGACAGGAGACCCCCCTCCTGAACAGCATAACGGGTGAACCCGAGGTCTACATGGGAGAAGAGAATGGGTTAAAATTTCCACACAGCCCTGACCTGGATAGCCCAGGCAAGCCCGATCTTGTCAGATCTCGGAAGCTAAGCAGGGTTGTCTCTGGCCAGTACTTGGATGGGAGACCTCCTTGGAATACCAGCAGTCAGGAGGCGGGAGCCGGCTTTATTTAGCCACCTCTCTGAATATCCTCCAGGCCCCCAGTAGGGGTCAATCACCAGAGGTCACCATGACTTCCAGGTGCACACACACTCACACACACATATACAAAAAAATACCACCACCCAAATCCCCACATAAACACACACGTTTTGTCACTGGACATTTTCTGCTAGTCCCAGCCAATGTTCCCTCTAAGCTATGGAGTCTTGTGAGCAAAAATTCTACTTTGTGAGCTGCCGGCATTAAAGTTGTGAGCCAGCGATTTGGCTACTGCATAAGTTAGTTTGCTCTGGAGCCCTCCTTCCTGTTCCAATTGTCAAGAAGTACAGACGAGTACCTTTGTGGGGTTAATGTTCTTTAGAACCCTACAATCATACTGTCTTTATAATAATCCGTTTATAGACGGGCAGACTGAAGGAGTTTTACAGAGGTGCAGCAGCAAGCCCACAAGCAGTGTTAGTCCAACAGGAATACAGTTTAGGTGCATCTAAGTCTTCAAGGGAAAGGGGGGGCATACTTGCAGCAGCCCCTTTTCAGGTTCCAGTGTCTGAAACCATCTGGAGAAGGAGTGGGTAAGTGTCATCTTGGAGTATGTTAATAGAGTCATATGGGTTTATAAATAGACAAATTTAATTGCAGGGTACCCTTATACCATATTATCTATGTGACAGTTCCCATGAGCGAAAGGTTCACTATGCCCCCCGGAAGGAGGCTGGTTCTTTGGTTTGTATGAACAGAAATCACATCCATAAAAATATATGGGATGCTTGTAAAATCACAGTCTGTTCATGAACTTTTTTCCCTTTTGCAGAAAGGTGATATACCACACGAAGACTATGGTTATCCTGAAGCTAGTGCAGGACAAAGGTAAAGCTCTTCCAAAGCACCTAAATTAGCTGGCACACATGCTATGAGGATCAGTGGGCTTTTCTTTCACTTGGAATGTTACCTGTGAACCTCATGAGCCGCTGACAAGCCTTTGAAACTGGTTTGCAACTCACTCTGGCATTATCACAAATGACAGTTTTAGGTGTTACTTGGCCTTGGAGACTGCCAAGTGTGTCTATGCTAAGCAGATAATGGAAGCACATTGGTAGTTTCTCAAAGCATACTTTCAGCCCAGCCATTGCCTTATGTCCATAACCATTTGTTCTTAAAGAAAATGACTCTGGAGAGATAGTGAAATGCAGGGGCACATATATTTTGGCCATTATTTTTAAAAAGCATTTATTATGGTGTGTATTTACATAGGAGGACATAGCTAATGTGGAAGAGGAGTACTGGAGAACATAAGCTTGAGACAAAGATTGAATGATGTGGTGCTCAGTCCTTCCAAGAGCAAGCTAAAGACTGGAGCCCTTTGGCATTCCCACCATATAGTTGCAGGCAGAAAAACAGCAAGAGGCCTGTATAGTAGGAATGCTTTACCAGCAGTGGCTTGATCACATCCAGAGATTCTGGAGAGAAGCAAGTGAGGAGGCAAAGCATATGAATTACAGTTTGTACATATGTCTGGAATGCAAGCCATTGTCTGGAGCTTAACCATACTTATATGTGCATGTCTGTGAGTGATATGTGTATACCTTCTAGGCAGAATGGGGTTAGTGTCATGTGTGTATTTTGGTGTATTTTCCATTGTCCATTTTAAAAGTAGCAATACGCCTTCCACCCCAAACAGAAATTTTTTCCTACATCTGCTCAATGCGCCCTCTAAAGTCTTGTGAGCAAAAATTCTACTTTGTGAGCTACTGACATTAAAGTTGTGAGCAAGTAATTTGGCAAACGTGTGAGCCGGAAGCTAAAAAAACTGTGAGCTAGCTCACACTAACTCAGCTTAGAGGGAACACTGCTTCTGCTCCATTTCACAGAAAACAGTGTAAATGCTTCATTCAGCTATAATATAAGCTTTAGAACGTATATTTTTAAATAACTTTCACAGATCTTGTTATGTGCAAATTCTGAAAAAGTACAAATGAGTCAAGCTTGAAGCATTCTAGTGAAGGAATTATTTAAAACACTGTGGATAATGTCAGCTGGGCTTCTAGGTGTCACCTAGTTGGGGGGGGGGAATCTGCAGGAAATTCCTGTGAGCATGTGGGAGAGAAAGCCTCAAAATGGTCTCTTACCTGGTAATGCTGGGTTAGTACTTTATGCAGTTTACTGTGAGTCATTATTAGATCTACAGCCCAGGTGACTGAGAAGCATAGGAAGGGACTTGGGTAAAACATAACCAGAAGATAACTGAGCCAGGAAAGCTGGCTGGAAATGAAGAATGTAAGAGCTCTGAAAAGGTGGGGGGGACTGCAAGCCTCAGCATTATGAAGAGAGAGCAATCTCCTGATCAGATACTTTTCCAGAACCCACTGCACCTTATAGATGCCAATTCCACAGGACAAATGTCTTAGGATGCAGCTTTGGCCCTGTATTTACTGGGCAGATTTGTGGAGCCTAAATTATTTCAATAGTGATGATTGTGGCTGATGGTTTTTTGTAGGGAGGGAGAGAAGGGTACCGCCACTCTACAATTGTGTGTCTGTTACAACTTCTGATGTCATTCACATCTATATTTTGAAGATAAAACTATCAATAATGAAGAAACACCAGGGTAAATTTGTCTAAGACTGTGTGCTGTTCTGTTGCATGCTTGAAACCATGTTGAAGAACAATTTTTTGACAACTTTATGAGTTGAACTTGAAATATTAGTGTCTCTTTTCACCCAAAAAACCTTTTCATTACCTAGACACATTTGTAGCAGTTAGCTTTATAATATTTTAACGTGTTTCCTATTTTGCAGTTTTGAATACTAGTCAAGTTTAAGACTGGAGAAAAATGGAGTGCATCCAATGGAGTGGATCCAGTGACTTTCCTACTAAGTGAGGGGTCTTCCTCCAGCAGATGTAATTTTTCTCCAAGACTCCTCACGTAGCAGAAGAGGGCCCTTTTATCTAACATGGTGTTTTTCCTAGGATTTTGAAAATATGATCTTTGCTATTACCTCTTGTTTTTCTAGCACTAGAAGAAGATCCATAAAGGAGAATCCCCTTTCAGTGAAGAAAAGTCCTGAAATCAAATCCCAGGTGGTGCCTGAGCAACCAGAGGAAGGGTTTATACCAATGCGTGTAAAGATGGCTGTATTTGCCATCTTTGTTTTCCTCGTTTTTGTATATGTAACTATGGAAACTAATCGAGACAATCCATTCATAGCCTTCATCTCTGGAAAATGAGCATAGCCCTGTCCTATATGGAATTGCAAGAGCAAAGAAGGCTTTCTCTTTAACTGCGTATGAATAAGTGATTTGGGTAGTTAATTAAAAAGCAAAAGAAGGACCAGTGTGTGTGTGTTCTTTTATTTAAAATCTGTTATATGCCACAGTGTGTTGGGTCTCTAAACATGTATGTGTAAATGAGTATTTCCTTTGTCAATTTAAAGAAAGTTACTCAGTTTAGTATTATTCCTTTTTTAAATTGTAGGAGATGATGGTATCCGTTAATATTCCATTATTTGTATCCACTAGAGATTTCTGTGAACAGAAGGGATTTCTGTGAATACAAGGGATTTCTGTCCACAGAGTGTGACTTACCCACCTCCTGCAAAAAATGCGCCTCCTGGAGAAAAGAAAAAAGACCTCCAGGGGCAGCATGGAAGGGGTGGGGGTGGGGAATCAATTAAAGTAAACCATTTTCCATTCACAGAAATCTTATGTGGGATCAAAAGCTTTGATGTTTGCTTAAGACCAGTAAATCAAGCAGTAAGAATTGAGACCGTACATACAATCAGACAAGCAGTTCTGCTCCCTGAGTGTTGGCACATGGGTAGTAAATTGCAGAGTGGCTCCCCAAAGAAGTCAAAACCAAGAAGAGCAACAGAAGCTGATGGTGCAATGGGAAAGCAGGCAATTCCCTTATGTATTGGCCATTTCCAGCTCTCCCATTGACTGTGCAGTGCGCTCCAGCAGCTATTGGCCCATCAACTGCCACGCAAGAGTACTCACGTGCCATGGGCTGAGTGCTGGGTCTGCTTCTCTCCCACACCCAGTGCCAGCCTAGACACTCTTCCCTCACAGAAAAAAACTGTCAAAACGGCTGTCTTTCCTGACAGACACTTCTCCTGTTTGTCTCCTGTGGGACTAACTTTTCTCTCATTGGCTGTTGCTAGGCATCCAAGCTTGGTTCTGTCAGTAAAAAGGCAAAGGAGGGAAACCCTTTCCAGGCCTTTGTGGGGAACTCATTGGGGCCAGTCCTGACTAGGGTTGCCAGCTCCAGGTTGGGAAATTCCTGGATATTTTGTAATGGAGTCTACGGAAGCAAGAGTTTGGGGAGGGGAGAGGCCTCAGCTGAATAGAATGCTATAGAGCCCATCCTCCAAAGCAGTTGTTTTCTCATGGGGGTGGAGATCTGTTGTCTGGAGTTCAGTTGTGATACCCATTTATCTTCAGGCTCCACCAGGAGGCTGGCTACCCTAGGCATAGCAGTTAGTGCTTCAGAGGAGGGTCTGCCCAGACCCAGTCATGTTCTTGCTGTGGAAGCTGAGTGGGTGATTTTGGACCACTCACAGACTTTCAGCCTAATCTACCTCACAGGCTTGTTGTATAGATCAAAAGAGGGCAAGAGAATGATGTAAGCTGCTTTGGTCTCCACTGCGGAGAAAGATTGTACTTTTCCTCCAGGGGAACCATTGCTGCCAATCTTCAGGTGAGGGCTGGAGATCACTCAGAATTAAAACTGCTCTCCAGATGGCAACAATTGGGCACATAACGGTAGGTTGATGGTTGGCTGGGAAGGAAATAGGGTTGCCAACTCCAGGTTGGGAAATTCTTGGAGATTTGAGGGGTGGAGACTGAAGAGGCTGGTGTTTGAGGAGGGGTGGGACCTCAGACAGGTACAATGCCATAGACTTCACTCTCCAAAGTAATTTCCTCCTAGGGAACCATTGCTTCCAATCTCCAGAGGAGGGCTGGAGATCACTCAAATTACAACTGCGCTTCAGATGGCAGAGATCAGTTCCCCTGGAGAAAACGGTAATACATAAAATTCAAATGAGTTTTATCAGTGCCAAACAATTGCATTACTGAGTTGTGAAGCTGTAGCTTCTATACCTCTGTGATTTTAAATAAAAACCCTCAAATATGGTGAAAGGACAAAAGCTTCTATGTGATGAATTTATGTTTCTTTTTTGCTTGTGAATGCCAAGCTCTTGATGTGATTTCTGCTATCTCCAATAAAGTGCTTTATTACACTTTCTTTCTCCCATCCACATAAATTGCACACCTTGTGATTTTACCCTGTGGTAATAAGGGACTGCAAGCAATCTAACCGCCATTCATCTCCTTCAGTTAAAGTTTCCTGTGATTACCTTCTGACATATGATTTAGTAGAAAGAAGGAGAGTTGGATTGAAATCTCCCAACACACCACTGAGATTGATATTGTCCCATTACCCTATAATGTGCAGAAAGCTAAGAGTAGGGAACACTGACCAGTAAAATTTAAAATCTGGCTTGTTTTCTTCAGTAAATGAATGACTCCATTAAAATCTTAACCCTTCTAAAGGTGAAGTTTTTTATCCCAGACTTTTGATATGTCTGTTCTAGCTCACCTCACTTCCCAGGGTTTGATATTTTACTTTTGTTTGAGTTCTCTGCCATGACTGTCCTCTTGCACCTGTGTGTGTGACTTGTAAAATGGGTAAAGTTTTTTCTAGTATATTTTCAGTCTGAGTGCTTAATTTTGATGCATATGTGTGTTATACATATGAATGGAAGTAGTCTGTAACTGGCCTCATCTGTTTGTGTTACCTACTGTCTATAGTTTTAATTATTGCTTTGCAGTGCATCATTACAGTCTGGATTGTGTTTTGGATTGCTATCAAGTACAGTAATCTCTCCTGCCAACCTAGCAGTTTGAAAGCAAGAAATTGCAAGTAGATAAATAGGTACCACTTCGGTGGGAAGGTAACAGCGGTCCGTGCGCCTTGGTGTTTAGTCATGCCAGCCACATGACCACGGAAACGTCTTCGGACAGCGCTGGCTCTTTGGCTTTGAAACGGAGATGAACACTGCAACCCTAGAGTTGGATTCGACTGGCTTTTGAGCAAGGGAACCTTTACCTTTTTACAGTAATCTAACTTGGATGTGATCAAAGCATGGATTACTGCAGCCAAATTGTGATTTTTTGAAGAATGGTGGTAGCTGGTGAACCAGCTAGAAATGATGTAAAGTGCTACATGCCATGGAGGAGACCTGAGCATTTAACTGCAGCATCCCCAAGCTACAGACCTGCTCCTTCAGAGAGAGTGCAACCCCCTCCAAAACAGGCTGACTCCAGAGTCCCCAAGCAGCTTAACCATTGATTAATAGCACCTCAGCTGTGTCTGACAGCTTCAGTTTAATGGCCCTCATCCATTCCCACACCTTAGCTGTTAAGGAAGAATAGAGTTGGGTGTCGTCTGCATATTGGTGAGACCTCACTCCAAGTCTCTGGAGGACCTCTCCCAGCAGTTTCAAGTAGATGTTAAATAGCATGTAGGACAAGATAATAGCTTGCAGAACCCCATAGCATAAATGCTGTGGAGTTGAGCAGCAGTCTCCCAGCATCATCTGGAATCAGTCAGAACAACAGAGCTGCTGAAGCATGGTGCCCTTTGCTGCCCAGCTAGCCTATCCAGAAGGATGCCACGGTCCAGGGTTCATCAGCATGGTGCCTAAGGGTGCCATGGAGCCCACCAAGTGGGTATGGACTTATGCCCAGAAGGGCTTCCTATTGGCTACTGGATATATGATCAGCTGTGAAGGTTAAAAGGCATCCTGTTAAACAGAGCTGCCTGAAATATTGAAGTGGTACTACTTAGATTTATGCATAACCTTGATCCCAGGCACTTTGTGGTCAGCTCTGCCTCTTTTGGCAGCCATTTTGTGGCTGTTGCCATCTCCTGTGGCAGCTGTTTTGTGGTTGTGCCCACCACCCTGTGCCAGAATTACAAAGTTCCCACAGGACCCAAAAGGTTGGGGACCCCTTCCATAGTCTATAGTATTGGGAGCTACTGAGAGGTCCAGGAGAATCAGCAGGGACACAGTCCTCCAGTCACCCTCCTGGAAAATATCTGTTAGGGTGGTCACAGACATTTCCATCCCAAAGACAGACCTGAATCCAGATCAAAATGGGTCTAGATAATCCATCTCCAAAGCCACCTGTAAGTATGCTAGTCTCCTTTGGCTAGGAGCACCACAGGTGATTGTTGTTGGAAATATGTATGTTGCAAGGTCTAAATTCAATCATAGGGTTAATGTACTTACCTTGTGTGCTGCTGTTTAGACTGACCTGGAAGGGAACCTGGCAGAAAGCCAATGGAGAGAAAGCGCAGAAAACTGGAGCCTATTTACTAACAATAATTGGTTAATGTATTCAGGTGATTTCCTTCCAGGGTCAAGAAGAAAGAAGAATATTACGGTGTGGTCAGTCTGTTGTACTTGTAACAGTAAGGATGTAGTCTTAAGTGTTTGTTTTGTAGATTTCCTGTGTATCTTTCGCTTTAGAGATAAAGATTTTACATAGAAAGAATATGTCTCCTCTCCAGTGAACAAAGATCCATTGTGAGCTAGGACAATGACTAGGAAGACAGTCTTCTTTCCCTCCAGCCTACTGTTCAGGGCTTCATCAGGAGGGGTGAAGGCCCTTTAACAGAGCTATTTTGCCTTCCCAGTTAAGGTTGCCAACTCTGGACTGGGAAATTCCTGAAGGTTTGGGGGTGGGGTCTGGGGAGTGGAGAGGCCTCAGTAGAGTACAATGCCACAGAGCCCACCCTCCAAAGCTGCCATTTTCACCCGGAAAGCTGATCTCCATAGTCTAGAAATCAGTTGCAATTCTGGGAGATCTCCAGGTCCTACCTGGAGGCTGGCAACCCTACATCCCAGTCCACCCCGTCCAAATAAAGCCTAAGATAGAACCCTTATTTCTCTAGATGGTAATAGAAACAATGTGGCAGCTTATTTGGTGCAGTACATTGGTAATACAGTGGTGTTTAAGGCAAGCCAGCACTATCGCAATTACTAGGCAGTGATGATGGGTTATATAAGGCCTAAGTTAGCTCATGAAATCTGAACTGGGGACTTCTGGCTCATAGCTGATTCTCATCAGCTATGCACACTGATAAAACTAGTTGAATTATTATTTTCTGGAACTGCAATAACCTTTGCATTTTTGTACGCAAACAAAAAAAGGAACCTTGCAGT